ATGATGAACATTTTTTCATGTATCTGTTAGCCATTTGTATGTCTTCTTCAGAGAAGTGTCTTTTCATATCTTCTGCCCACCTTTTGACTTGATTGTTTTTTGGGTGTTGAGTTTGAGAAGTTCTTTATAGATCTTGGATACCAGCCCTTTATCTGTAGTGTCATTTGCAAATATCTTCTCCCATTCTGTGGGTTGCCTCTTTGTTTTGTTGACTGTTTTCTTTGCTGTGCAGAAGCTTTTTATCTTGATGAAGTCCCAAAAGTTCATTTTTGCTTTTGTTTCACTAGCTTTTGGAGATGTATCTTGAAAGAAGTTGCTGTGGGCGATGTCAAAGAGGTTACTGCCTATGTTCTCCTCTAGGATTTTGATGGATTCCTGTCTCACATTGAGGTCTTTCATCCACTTTGAGTTTATCTTTGTGAATGGTGTTAGAGAATGGTCGAGTTTCATTCTTCTGCATGTGGCTGTCCAATTTTCCCAGCACCATTTATTGAAGAGACTGTCTTTTTTCCATTGCATGTTTTTTCCTGCTTTGTCAAAGATTATTTGACCATAGAGTTGAGGGTCCCTATCTGGGTTCTCTATTCTGTTCCATTGGTCTATATGTCTGTTTTTTTGGGGCTCTACTTTCACCCAAAACAGATCCACAACTCGCCCTCTTCAACCCCTCCATGGCCTCCGCTCTGATCCGACCCACTTCTTCTCCAGACTGTTCCCCTGAATCACCCTCCTCACTGTCTTCCTGGCTCCCGCCCCGCCTCCCACAGTCTGTTTCCCACACCCACACCATGCAGCCACAGGGCTCCTGTGAATACCTGAGCCAGATCAGGGAAGCCTCCAGGGGCTCCACCTCAGAGGAAAAGTCAAAGTCCTCCCCCAACCCTGGAGGCCCCTCCGTCCCCTCTTGGACTGGACTGCGCCTTTTCCCATCTCTGACAGCATCACTTACCATTTACCACCCCCCTCATTCTACTCCAGCCACAAAGCCGGTTCCTGGAACACACCAGGCACATTTTCACCTCAAGGCCTTTGCATTGGCTGTTCCCTCTGCTTGGAATGGTTGTCCTTCGGTATCCACATGACTTCCTCTCTCCCCTCCTTCAGATCTTTGCAAGAATGACACCTTCTCAGTGAGGCTTCCTCTGAATACCCTCTTCTCAAGCAAACTGCCCTCATACATTCCTCATCTTCCTTCTCTGTTTTTGTTTTTGTTTTTAACAATTTTGTTTATTAGAGAGAGAGCGCGAGCGTGAGCAGGCACGAGGGGGTGGAAAGAGAAGAAGCAGACTCCCTGCTGAGCAGGGAGCCAGACTTGGGGCTCAGGGCTCCATCCCAGGATTCTGGGACCATGACCTGAGAGGAAGGCAGACACTTAACTGACCAAGCCACCCAGGCGCCCCTGTTTTAATCTCTGAATAGCAGTTCTCACCACCTGATACCATATGTTTTACTTAAGTATTTCACCAGAATATAAGTATTTCACTAGAAATTTTCAATATCTTGTTCACCATTTTATCCCAGGTGCCCCCACTAGTGTTGGCTCAATGAATGACCCTAGGGTAGATGCTTAAAGTGATAAAAACATACCTACTTCCAGCCCCCAAAGAGCCCGGATTCTAGCCAAGAGACAGAAATTAAATAACTAGGTGTTTTCACATGGCAGTAAGAGCAAAGAGGGAGACAAATGGGGAGCCATGATTATAACAGTGCATGGGGGTAACTAGGCTTGGATGGTCAGGAAGTGACATCTGAGTCATGGCCCAGCTGATGAGGAGCAAAAAGATCTGGGAGAATATT